ACCCACAACATTGGAAGGATATAGACTGGTTGGAGCGAGTCCAGAGGAGGCCACAAAGATGATCAGAGGGCTGGAGCACCTCTGCTATGGGGACAGGCTGAGAGAGTTGGGCTTGTTCAGCCTGGAGAAGAGAAGGCTCCGGAGAGACCTTGTTGCAGCCTTCCAGTACCTGAAGGGGCTACAAGGAAGCTGGGGGGGACTTTTTACAAGGGCCTGTAGTGACAGGACAAGGGGTAACGGGTTTAAATTGAAAGTGGGGAGGTTTAGATTAGATATCAGGAAGAAATTCTTCACGGAGAGGGTGGTGAAGCACTGGGACAGGTTGCCCAGAGAAGCTGTGGATGCCCCATCCCTGGAAGTGTTCAAGGCCAGGCTGGATGAGGCTTTGAGCAACCTGGTCTAGGGGAAGGTGTCCCTGCCCATAGCAGGGGGGGTGGAACCGGATGGTCTTTAAGGGCCCTTCCAACCCAAACCATTCTGTGATTCTATGATTCTATGAACAAGCACGCTCTCTCAAAAACACATCCTCAGTGGCTGCCATCTCCCAGCAATACTTGCTGCACCCCTGACATGATCCTTCCCCTACCCCCAGCAGCCTGCAGAAACTGTGCAGAGCTCTGCTCCCACTACCTCCTCTCTTCCCTCTTTCTACACACCAGATAACCTCAATTACCTCATTTATTTTCCAGATCTATCCTTTCCAATCGAGATGTAAAGCTCTGGTATGCCCAATGCGCATCTCATCAACTCAAACACAACAGCCCAAGAATCTGCCCTTCACACTTCTCTGTGCGGACAATGCCACTGGCTCTCAGGTCAAAGTCCTGGATCATTTGGTCTACCCAAAACTTCATAGTTTAATGGCCAGGCTCTTTCAGTCCTCTGAATTCTGTACTATGTAGAAATAGAAATGATCTATATAGGAACTCAGATTAAAGTTATCTAAGTTCCTCTAAGCTGCTGCAACACCTTTTCCACATTTCCTTCACAAATGCCAGCTCACATAAGATGGCTGCAAAGCCTGTTTGACCTCTGTGTCATACACTTCCTAGCACCCTCCCACCAATGCCAGGCGGCGAACGAAACAACAAAGAAACATCTGATTTAGTGAGGAAGGGCAAAAGCTTCTTGCATCCTTTTATAGCACTTGGCTTTACTACTCACTCATTTGAAATCTTAAAGGCGTCAGAGTATTTATGAATTTCCTTCCTGACCATCGAAACTGGAAATGCCACCAGTAGTATTTAATTAATCCTTGAGATGTCTTTACCCTGAGGCCTACAAGACATGCGGCAAGAAGCAAGATTGTTGACACACTGAAGCCACAGCCCAAAACCTCCATTGTCCCAGCCCCATCTCTTCCTTTACACCCAGAAAAAAGACTGTGGGCATGTTCCGCACTTGTGTAGCACATTGGCATTCGCCCTGTTGCTCTTCCCCAGATCTCCTCCAATTCCACCCATCTCCCCTGCCTCATTACGGACTGCTGACTTACAAAGACCAGCATCCGCCGTTGTCCCTTGCACCTCCTTCTCCCCCCAGCTCCTTCTCCACTGCCTCTTTGCCTGGAAGCATCACACTGGGACAAAGGCACATTTGCCACACGTTCACTGGGCTTCCCCTCAACAGTCTCATCATTCCCAACGCTGTAGCTTATGGCAGCACGAGAAAACACTATGCACCTTGTTTCTGAACGGTCTCAAAACCGGAGCAGCAGCGTGACCATTAGTCCAGCTCTTTTTGTTCGGAAACAAAAGCCTGTATTTGTCAGCCCTTCTGCAGCACTTGATGCACGACTCCTTCTTGGATTCTGGATTTTTTAAAAATTAAAGTTACACCTGTTCTATTTGTTAACAGTAGGCTTAGATAACTAGCAAATTGTTTTGAATAATTAAAATTTAAGGCCTTGAATCAACAGGCAGAAGTGAAAATGCAAAGTCATCTGGCACGAGTCCTAGGCTTCAGAGCAACAGACTCGGATTATCCAGCTCATCTGACTACATTTTACAGTCACACATAATGACTTCCCAATTTCAGAAGAGGACTCCATGGTATTCATACATGGATGAGCATGTGCCATACGCCTTTGTTTTATGGTTTATGTATTTACTTCCAAGGCACCGATACACAAGGAAGAAATGTTACTTCAGTCTTGGATAGTCAGTAGTATTTGCATTAAATGGGAAGTGTCACTGACTTCAAGAACTGTAAGGTCAAAGATACACCAGGGAAAGATATTGCCCTAAACGTAAAACTCAGTTTTTCCTTTGCTGTCTAGTTATCAAGTTCCTTTTCAACGGCAAGTTCACAATGTGTGAACTTAAGGGCCTGCAGTGACAGGACAAGGGGTAACGGGTTTAAATTGATAGTGGGGAGGTTTAGATTAGATATCAGGAAGAAGTTCTTCATGGAGAGGGTGGTGAGGCACTGGAACAGGTTGCCCAGAGAAGCTGTGGATGCCCGATCCCTGGATGTTTTCAAGGCCAGGCTGGACGAGGCTTTGAGCAAACTGGTCTAGTGGAAGGTGTCCCTGCCTATGGCAGGGGGGTTGGAACTAGACGATCTTTAAGGTCCCTTCCAACCCAAACCATTCTATGATTCTGTGTTGGATTTAAGATGATACGAGATTGCACAACTGAGGAAAGGTCCTCTGAAAGCAGATTAGAACAGATACGATACCCTGTGGTGCAAAATGCTCACTTGAACTTCATCAGCGAAAGGGCAATGAGGGCTACAACACCGTGCTTCAGCCCCGATGC